TCAGGCTCCAGCTCCTCACTCTCGTCTAGCGGTAATGTCGGAGCGATGAGGAACTTTTTACTGGCAGAAGGCCGTGCCGGGGAGAGAGACGAACATTACAAATATCCAAAGATGGTGAGAACGTTCCAGATGGTGTCATCTGCTGCTGATTAAATACGCTGAACTAAAGGAGTTGTCATTAACGTTTTCCTGGAGTCACTTATGATAATTAGAGACGAGAGAACTAATGGACCCGAACCGCAAACTCAACCAAACCGGGTCAATTCATAAATATCGATCGATCTGACTGACGATCGGCCAACAATGGGAGAGCAAGGGGTTTTTTTTTTTTTTGAAGACCTTTAATGTCTCGCATTATAAATGCGTGTTGTGTCTCCAGCCGCAGATCAAAGCCCAGCGCACCAGACGCACCGGCCGGCACACTTGAATACTGGATTCATCTATTTTGTCCCCTCCCCCCATGGAACCTGCAGATATACCGACTGCACAACATGGAGATGAAATGACCACAACAGCCACAGACCACAAAGAAACAATGAAACATTGATAAAGTACCCAACTCTATAACCGATACATAACATGACAACTCTTGGGTTCTAGGAGAGGGTCTTTGGTGTCCACCAGCCTAAAAGATTGACCATGAGCCAACCCTACCCCCAGCTGCCCCCCACCGGCTCAAGGCCAGCTCTAAGCTGACCATTTTCTGCCTTTCCAAGGGATCCAACCTCAAGAAAAAACAACTGATATCAAAAGCAGAAGCACCATCCCGCCAGATGGGCCCCACATTTTGTGTCCATCCCTATAGTCCACGGATCCCCGAAGACCCCCAACCTGCCAAGCTGCCCATGAGTTGATATATAAGAAATGAGAGCGGGCCACACTTCCGGAGCGATCTATAAATCACCACAGTGCCTACTTCTGTGGCTCCTCCTAACCAGAGCGTCCTCCACCCCTCTCTGCCATTTGCTCCATTGCCTCCACTCAGTGTCCTCCACCTCTCTCTGCCAATCTCTCACTGCCCTCCATTCAGTGTCCTCCACCCCTCTCTGCCAATCCCTCCACTGACCTCCATTCAGTGTCCTCCACCCCTCTCTGCCAATCCCTCCACTGACCTCCATTCAGTGTCCTCCACCCCTCTCTGCCAATCTCTCCACTAGCCTCCACCAATTGTCCTCCACCCTTCTCTACCACTCCCTCATATTGCCTCTGCTTAGTGTCCTCCGCCCCTCTCTGCCATTTGCTCCATTGCCTCCGTTCAGTGTCCTCCACCCCTCTCTGCCAATCCCTCCACTGGCCTCCATTCAGTGTCCTCCACCCCTCTCTGCCAATACCTTGACAAGTTTCTGCTCAGTGTCAGGTCCTCCGCCCTTCTCTGCCAATCTCTCCACTGACCTCCACCAAGTGTCCTCCCCCTTCTCTACCCACTTCCTCAAATTGCCTCTTCTTAGTGTCCCCCGGCCCTCCCTGCCAATCCCTCCACTTGCCTCCACTCAGTGTCCTCCACCCCTCTGCCAATCCTTTGACATGCTTCTGCTCAGTGTCCTCCACCTCAGTCTGCCAATCCCTCCACTGACCTCTATTCAGTGTCTTCCACCCCTCTCTGCCAATCCCTCCACTGGCCTCCATTCAGTGTCCTCCACCCCTCTGCCAATCCCTTCACTCAGTGTCCTCCACCCCTCTCTGCCAATCCCTCCACTGACCTCCATTCAGTGTCCTCCATCCCTCTCTGCCAATCCCTCCACTGGCCTCTATTCAGTGTCCTCCACCCCTCTCTGCCATTCTCCCTCCACGTTGCCTCCGAACAGTGTCCTCCACCCCTCTATGCCATTTGCTCCATTCCCGCTCAGTGTCCTCCACCCCTCTCTGCCAATCCTCCACTGGCCTCTATTCAGTGTCCTCCACCCCTCTCTGCCATTCTCTCCACTGCCTCCGCACAGTGTCCTCCACCCTCTATGCCATTTGCTCCATTGCCTCCGCTCAGTGTCCTCCACCCCTCTCTGCCAATCTCTCCACTGCCCTCCATTCAGTGTCCTCCCCCCTCTCTGCCAATCTCTCCACTGGCCTATTCAGTGTCCTCCACCCTTCTCTACCCACTCCCTCATATTGCCTTCTGCTTAGTGTCCCCCCAACCCTCCTGCCAATCCCTCCACTTGCCTCCACTCAGTGTCCTCCACCTCAGTCTGCCAATCACTCCACTGGCCTCCATTCAGTGTCCTCCACCCCTCTCTGCCAATCTCTCCACTAGCCTCCACCAATTGTCCTCCACCCTTCTCTACCACTCCCTCATATTGCCTCTGCTTAGTGTCCCCCTGGCCCTCCCTGCAAATCTCTCCACTTGCCTCCACTCAGTGTCCTCCACCCCTCTGCCAATCCTTTGACATGCTTCTGCTCAGTGTCAGGTCCTCCATCTCAGTCTGCCAATCCCTCCACTGGCCTCCATTCAGTGTCCTCCACTCTTCTCTGCCAACCCCTCCACTAACTTCCATTCAGTATCCTCCACCCCTCCCTGCCAATCCCTCCACTGACCTCCACCAACTATCCTCCACCACTCCCTGCCAATCCCTCCATTGACCTCCACCCAGTGTCCTCCCCCCCCCCCTCTGCCAATCCCTTGACCGTCTTCTGCTCAGTGTCAGGCCCTGCCATGTTTCGTCTCGTATTATAACTGTACCGTCTCCCTGTATATTGTGAATCGTCGTGCAAACTGTTGGCGTTCTATAAATAATGATAATAATAACTCTTTGGCGGTTGTAAAATGGCGGCACATCTTATAGCGCGGTGACAGCTTCCTCCGTAGAACAAGGGATCCCTGTCGTCTGTCAGTCCGTACCTTCCAATCTGCCGATGATGGTGTCACATCGAACGTTCGGAGGAATGACAGAGGAGACAGGTGATCCCGGGTAGGTGGGAGTTCTCTCTCTATACCGTCTGATTCGTCACGCAGATTATGGAGAGATTATTATATATAACAAGGATGTGTTCCTGGAGGCTACGACTGGGGGAGACGCTTGAGGGGCCCTCGGGGCCGGTTCTGAAGGGCTCACGGAGAGCAGCTCATTATGCGCTGACATGCCAGACAGCGATCTCTCCGGGGAGATGATCCGAATGATATTATTAGCACACAAACTGCGCAGAGATGGAGGATGTGAGAGCGCAAAGCCTGGCACCGGAACCACCAGAATCACCGGAACCATCGGGACCACCGGAACCACTGAAACCAACGGAACCACCAGAACCACCGGGACCACCGAGATCAACGAAACCAACGGAACCACCGGAATCACTGAAACCACGGAACCACCAAAACCACCGGGACCACCGGAACCACCGGGATCAACGAAACCAACGGAACCACCGGAATCACTGGAGCCACCGGAACACCAGAATCACCGGAACCATCGGGACCACCGGAACCACTGAAACCAACGGAACCACCAGAACCACCGGGACCACCGGAACCACCGGGATCAACGAAACCAACGGAACCACCGGAATCACTGGAGCCACCGGAACCACCGGAACCACCGGAATCACCGGAACCACCGAAACCACCGGAACCACTGAAACCAACGGAACCACCAGAACCACCGGGATCAACGAAACCAACGGAACCACCAGAACCACCGGTAACACCGGAACCACTGAAACCAACGGAACCACCAGAACCACCGGGATCACCGAAACCAACAGAACCACTGGAATCACTGGAGCCACCTAAACCACCGGAACCACCGGAATCACCGGAACCACCGGAATCACCGGAACCACCAGAATCACCGGAACCACCGGAACCAACGGAACCACCGGGATAACCTAAACAGAACCACCGGAGCCACCTAAACCACCGGAACCACCGGAATCACCAGAACCAACGGAACCACCGGGAATACAGGGGGGAAGATGGAGAGAAGAACCTACACAGCACACATCTATCATGCTCTGCGAGGGGGCGGAGCTTCTCATATACTTCACCCCAATGGCGTGCTTCACTGGGTGCAAATGTGACCCCCCCCCTCCGAGATCACACGACTCCCCCTCACAATGCCACCATCATTTCTCCTCTACAGAAGGATGGCGCTATTGTTCAGGCATCATCCAGGGTCACCGTCTACTTCCTGGTGTCAGAGATGAAGCAGTCATGTACAGTAAATCCTGGTGTCTGCAGTTCCTGGCTGTGTCCACAAATGTCTGACACAGATCAGCCCCTCACCGTGTGACTTGCTACAAAGTTACAATGTACAGTCTGATCACTGGGGGAGGGGAGACTGAGGAAATGACTCCTTCTACAAAGTTACAATGTACAGTCTGATCACTGGGGGAGGAGACTGAGGAAATGCCTCCTCCTCCTTCTACAAAGTTACAATGTACAGTCTGATCACTGGGGGAGGGGAGACTAAGGAAATGACTCCTCCTCCTTCTACAAAGTTACAATGTACAGTCTGATCACTGGGGGAGGGGAGACTAAGGAAATGACTCCTCCTCCTTCTACAAAGTTACAATGTACAGTCTGATCACTGGGGGAGGGGAGACTAAGGAAATGACTCCTCCTCCTTCTACAAAGTTACAATGTACAGTCTGATCACTGGGGGAGGGGAGACTGAGGAAATGCCTCCTCCTCCTTCTACTGTTCTGGATCTGCAGGGAAACGTTGGTCCTTCTCCCCGACACACACAGTACATTGTACCGTTCCCATCGATGTGCAAGACGATCGTACCTGGGCACTTCTTCTCATTGCATGGCTTGTTTTCCTCGGATGGGCCGGGACAATCTTGTCCACCATAAAACGGGCCGTAGCAAGACCGCTCCCTCTTCTGGGACCCTCCATCGCATGTTGTGCTGCAGGTTCCCCAGGATCCCCATTCCTGCCACTTCCCCTCCACTGCAAGGAAAGAAGAACAAGAGATCTGGAGGGTCAGGATGGTAGATGTAGGGATCGGCCTACTAGGGGTGTCATCGTCCCGGGACCCCAATTATTCAATACCCCCCGAGTGTCAGGGGGTGTCAGTGTTCTGGGACCCCCAAGTGTCAGGGTGTCATTGTTCTGGGACCCCCAAGTGTCAGGGTGTCGTTCTGGGACCCCCAGGTGTCAGTGTGTCATTGTTCTGGGACCCCCCAAGTGTCAGTGTGTCATTGTTCTGGGACCCCCAGGTGTCAGGGTGTCATTGTTCTGGGACCCCCAGGTGTCAGTGTGTCATTGTTCTGGGACCCCCAAGTGTCAGTGTGTCATTGTTCTGGGACCCCCAAGTGTCAGGGGTGTCATTGTTCTGGGACCCCCAGGTGTCAGTGTGTCATTGTTCTGGGACCCCCAGGTGTCAGTGTGTCATTGTTCTGGGACCCCCAGGTGTCAGTGTGTCATTGTTCTGGGACCCCCAAGTGTCAGGGTGTCATTGTTCTGGGACCCCCAGGTGTCAGTGTGTCATTGTTCTGGGACCCCCAGGTGTGTCAGTGTGTCATTGTTCTGGGACCCCCAGGTGTCAGTGTGTCATTGTTCTGGGACCCCAAGTGTCAGGGTGTCATTGTTCTGGGACCCCCAAGTGTCAGGGTGTCATTGTTCTGGGACCCCCAGGTGTCAGTGTGTCATTGTTCTAGGACCCCCAGGTGTCAGTGTGTCATTGTTCTAGGACCCCCAGGTGTCAGTGTGTCATTGTTCTGGGACCCCCAGGTGTCAGTGTGTCATTGTTCTGGGACCCCCAGGTGTCAGTGTGTCACTGTTCTGGGACCCCCAGGTGTCAGTGTGTCACTGTTCTGGGACCCCCAGGTGTCAGTGTGTCACTGTTCTGGGACCCCCAGGTGTCAGTGTGTCATTGTTCTGGGACCCCCAGGTGTCAGTGTGTCATTGTTCTGGACCCCCAGGTGTCAGTGTGTCATTGTTCTGGGACCCCCAGATGTCAGTGTGTCATTGTTCTGGGACCCCCAGATGTCAGTGTGTCATTGTTCTGGGACCCCCAGATGTCAGTGTGTCATTGTTCTGGACCCCCAAGTGTCAGTGTGTCATTGTTCTGGGACCCCCAGGTGTCAGTGTGTCATTGTTCTGGGACCCCCAGATGTCAGTGTGTCATTGTTCTGGACCCCCAAGTGTCAGTGTGTCATTGTTCTGGGACCCCCAGGTGTCAGTGTGTCATTGTACTGGGACCCCCAGGTGTCAGTGTGTCATTGTTCTGGGACCCCCAGGTGTCAGTGTGTCATTGTACTGGGACCCCCAGGTGTCAGTGTGTCATTGTTCTGGGACCCCCAGGTGTCAGTGTGTCATTGTACTGGGACCCCCAGGTGTCAGTGTGTCATTGTTCTGGGACCCCCAGGTGTCAGTGTGTCATTGTTCTGGGACCCCCAGGTGTCAGTGTGTCTAGCTCTGTGATTCAGGACTTGTCTATATACAAAGTAGCTGATTTCGGTGGATCTCTCACCCGGACATTGCATTAGGAAGCAGTCCTTGGTGTCGGACCATTGGCCGTGACACTCCGATCCCCCATAGGACGGTCCGTTACACTCGCGGATCCTCTTCTGGGTACCATTGGAGCAGGTGGCAGAACAGGCACTCCAGCTGGACCAATCATTCCAGTTCCCATCATCAACTGCCAGACAAAGTAGAGAGAGATGAAGACACAAGAATGTTATCCAACCAATCCGAACCGAACCGAGAGCCGGCTCTCCGAGAGATCTATGAGATCGATGAGGGAGAAATACAGAGAAAGAATGAGACGATCGATGAGCAGAAACAGAACGACTCCCTGCTTTATTCATTGCAATCCGTGTGGAATTGGGGAAAATCGGGCGAATTTGGCTTTGAGATGTCTTTATGAGTAATAATTATTGTCCCACCGATCACCTCTCCTGGGATCCAGCACTGGGACCTTCTGAGGAGGAGGAGGGGGAGGAGGCCCCAATACTTCGAGGCTTCATCTGAACATCAGTGCCAAGACCAATCTGGGTCACCCAATCAGTGCTGCCTTAAATTGTGAGGTGACCTGTGGCCCCCCAGCTGCAGTACCTGCCTCCGGGTCTGCCAGAAGCTTCTTGTATTTTCTGTCTCCAAGCTTGGCCCTGTACGCCCCATGTCTCCAAGCTTGGCCCTGTACGCCCCATGTCTCCAAGCTTGGCCCTGTACGCCCCATGTCTCCAAGCTTGGACCTGTACGCCCCATGTCTCCAAGTGTGCCCCTGTACACCCCATGTCTCCAAGTGTGCCCCTGTACGCCCCATGTCTCCAAGCTTGGCCCTGTACGCCCCATGACTCCAAGCTTGGCCCTGTATGCCCCATGTCTCCAAGTTTGGCCCTGTACGCCCCATGTCTCCAAGCTTGGCCCTGTACGCCCCATGTCTCCAAGCTTGGCCCTGTACGCCCCATGACTCCAAGCTTGGCCCTGTATGCCCCATGTCTCCAAGTTTGGCCCTGTACGCCCCATGTCTCCAAGCTTGGCCCTGTATGCCCCATGTCTCCAAGTTTGGCCCTGTACGCCCCATGTCTCCAAGCTTGGCCCTGTACGCCCCATGTCTCCAAGTTTGGCCCTGTACGCCCCATGTCTCCAAGTTTGGCCCTGTACGCCCCATGTCTCCAAACTTGGCCCTCCTACATCCTTCAATGTCCTCCAACATCCTTCAATATCTATCCTCCAGTATCCTCCTATATCCTCCAGTATCCCCCAATACCCTCCAGTATCCCCCAATACCTCCCAGTGTCCCTCAATACCCCCCAGTGTCCCCCAATACCCCCCAGTATCCTCCTATAAACTCCAGTATCCGCCGATACCCCCCAGTATCCCCCGATACCCTCCAGTATCCATCAATACCCTCCAGTATCCCCCCAGTATCCATCAATACCCTCCAGTATCCTCCTATAAACTCCAGTATCTGCCGATACCCCCCAGTATACCCCGATACCCCCGATACCCCCTGATACCCCCTGATACCCCCTGATACCCTCCAGTATCCCCTAATACCCTCCAGTATCCTCCTATATTCTTCAGTATCCCCCAATACCCCCCAATGTCCCTCAATACCCTCCAGTGTCCCCCAATACCCTCCATTATCCCCCAATACCCCCCAGTATCCCCCATTAGCCTCCAGTATCCCCCAATACCCTCCAGCATCCCCCAATACCCCCCAGTATCCCCCCATGCCCCCCAGTATCCCCCTGCATTATTAAACTCTTCCTGTGGGCGGGGCTCTGCAGGAAGATGTCTGCACTGACCTGGACATAAGGCGATGTTACAGAACTTGGTCTGCTTCTCGGGTCCTTTACACTGATCCCCCCCATACTGAGGGGGGCTACAGGTGCGCGTCCTCTCCCGGAACCCCCGACCACACGTGGACGAGCACAGACTCCAGGGGGACCACTCATCCCAGGAACCGTGTACTGTGACAACAGAGAGACAACAAAGAGTCACACGCTCATTATCATCACATTTCTGTACATAAATAATAAAACATCCTTATTTATAGATAACATTGGAATAGAAGAAAAATACATTCAAAATAGAAAAAAAAAAAAATAAAAAAAAAACGTAAAAAAAAACCCAAAACCTTAAAGATAATTATCTTTTATTTAGGATTTTTTTTTATAATAAAAGCACAAATTTTTTTTTAGCTTTCAGTATTTGGAAAAAAACAAAAAAACAAAAACATGCAAAGTATACAAACGTTCAATACAAATGATACAAAGTTTCAGTGTAACCACTTGATAGAAAAGCCTGTATTTCACAGAACCTTTTATTACAACTCATCAAAATTTCACTCCTATGCCTCACAGATTAAAAAAAAAAAAAAATGATATAAATAAAAAAAATAAATAAAACCATTTTTTTGGAAAAAGAAAAAAAAAAAATTATACAAAGTTTCAATGTCATCAATAGGCCTCTGTTTCACTGAACCTTCAAATATGCTCGGGACAAGCATAGAGCTATACTCAGACAAAAAAGTAAAAAAAGAAACAAAAAAAAAAAAAACTAACAATCCCCCCCTCCCCCCCAAAAAAAAAACTAAAACAAAAAAAAACCCTCAAGAAAAAAAAAAAAAAAAAAAAACCACACAAAAAAAAGGGTAGACTCGATGGACCCCTTGGTCTTTTTTTGGCGTCACTTTTCTATGTTTCTACCTTTTTTATATTATAAGTCATCAGAATTTTACTCCATAGAATTGAAAAAAAAAAAATAATCAAGCATCCCCATTTACAGCCATCAAAATTTGAACAGGAGAAAAAAAAAGGATTCTCTTAGAAAAAAAAAAATCAAAAAAAAAAAATAATTAAAAACATCCAAAGATAATGAAACCACTATTTTATAGCTTGCTGAACTGGAAAAAGGGAAAAAAAAAAAATACAAAGTACACAAAGATAAGTCATCAAAATATCACTCGTATGCCTCATAGAATTAAAAAAAATATATAAAAAAATAAAACATCCTTATTTATAGCTATCAAATTTGGAACAGAAGAAAAAAAAAAAAAACATTCAAAATATATGCCCCTTAAATAAAATCCTAAAAAAATAAAGAAAAATAATACAACCACTATTTTTTTTTAGCTATTGAAACTGGAACAGGAGAAAAAAAAATATGCAAAGTTCACAAGGTTTCATTGTCATCACTTGATCAATAAGTCTCCAATTCACAGAACATTTTTCAAGTCATCAAAATTTCACTCCTATGCCTAAAAAATAATAAATAAATCCTAAAAAAATTAATAAAACATCCTCGTTTATAGCTATCAAAATTGGAACAAAAGATAAGCACACTCAAAATATATGCCTCTTAAAAAAAATCCCCCCCCAAAAAAATCCTAAAAAATTCAAATAAATCCTTATTTTTAGCTAACAAAATTGGAACAAAAAAAAATCTAAATAAAAAAAATCCTAAAATAAAAAATCCTAAAGAAATAAAAAAAAACATCCTTATTTATAGCTATCAAAATTGGAACAAAAGAAAAGCACACTCAAAATATATGCCTTTTAGAAAAAATCCCCCCCCCCCCCAAAAAAAAAATCCTAAAAAAAAAAGAAAATCCTAAAAAAATATAAAAAAAAATCCTTATTTTTAGCTATCAAAATTGGAGTAAAAGAAGAAAACATTCAACATATATGCCTCTTAAAAAAAAAATCCTAAAAAAAATCTAAAAACTAAAAAAAATCATGAAACATCCATATTTATAGCTATCAAAATTGGAACAAAAGACAAAAACACATTCAAAATATATGCATCTTAAAAGAAATCGTAAAAAAAAATCCTAAAAATAAAAAAAATCCTAAAAGAAAAAATCCTAAAAAAATAATAAAACATCCTTATTTTTAGCTATCAAAATTGGAACAAAAGATAAGCACACTCAAAATATATGCCTCTTAAAAAACAATCTCCCCAAAAAAATCCTAAAAAAATTCAAATAAATCCTTATTTTTAGCTAACAAAATTGGAACAAAAAAAAATCTAAACAATAAAAAATCCTAAAAAAAAATAATAAAACATCCTTATTTATAGCTATCAAAATTAGAACAACAGAAAAGCACACTCAAAATATATGCCTCTTAGAAAAAATCCCCCCCCAATCTTAAAAAAAAAAAAAAAAATCCTAAAAAAATATAAAAAAATCCTTATTTTTAGCTATCAAAATTGGAACAAAAGATAAGCACACTCAAAATATATACCTCTTTAAATAAATCCTAAAAAAAATAAATCTAAACAATAAAAAAATTCTAAAAAAAATAAAACATCCTTATTTATAGCTAGCAAATTGGAAAAGAAAAAGATCATTTGATCAATAAGCCTCCATTTCACAGAACATTTTTCATTAGAAGTCATCAAAATTCACTCATATGCCTAAAGGGAAAAAAAAATCCTAACAAAAAATTCACAAACATCCTTATTTTTAGCTATCAAAATTATAGCAAAAGAAAAACACATTCAAAATATATGCCTCTTAA